TCACTGTCTAACACTATCTGCCAAAAAAAAAAAAAAAAAAAAGGAAAAGAAAAAACATACTGGGGGGGGGCCAGCATAGTGGTATAGCGGGTAGTGGTATAGTAGGTAAAGCTGCTACCTGCAATCCTGGCATCCCAGATGGGTGCAAGTTCAAGTTCCAGCTGATCCACTTCCTATCCAACTCCAGGGTAATGGCCTGGAAAAGCAGCATAGGATGAGCCAAGTGTTTGGGCCCCTGAACCCACGTGGGAAACTGGAGGAGGCTCCTAGTTTTTGACTTTGGCCTCGCCCAGCCCTGGCCATTATGGCCATTTGGAGAGTGAATCAGCAGATGGAAGACCTCTCTCTCTTTCTAACTCTGCCTTTCAAATAAGCAAAATAAACCTTTAGGAAAAAATAAAAATAAAATACAAGGGGATTTCAAAAAGTTCATGGAAAACAGAATTTAAAAATAAGTTTATTTTGAAATCCATAATAACACTTTCCATGAACTTTCTAAAGAACCCTCATAATAGGAATAAATTTAACAAAAGACACATAAGATTGTTGCACTGAAATTGACAGAACAGGACTAAAAGAAATTGAAAATCTAAATCAAAAGGATATATACCTCGGTCATATATTTGAAGACTCAATACAATGGCCATTTTTTTTAAATTAATTTATAGATTCAGTGCAATCCTAATTAGACATTTTGTATAAACTGGTAAGATTATTCTACTATCATATGAAAATGCAAAGGAACTAAAATATCCAAATCAATCTTAAAACAACAGCACTGGGGAACCTAAACTACATAACTTCCAGACTTACCTTAAAGCCACAGTAATGAAAATAATGTGGTACTAACCTAAGGACTCATCAGCTGAACAGAACAGCCCAGATGTTAACCACCATTCATATAGTCATCCTGATTTCAAAAACGCAACACAACAGCATTTTCAACAAACAATGCTGAGCAACTAGATACCTATCCAGGAAAAAAATGAATACTGAGTTGTACCTCACACCACTCACAAAAATTAGAGATGCATCAGAGTCCTAAACATAAAAGCTGAAACTATAAAACCTCTAGAAGGAAATATAACAGAATATCTTCATAAGTTCAAAGTGGCCAAGATTTCTTAGTACTCAGAATAACTAAGAAAACAATGCTAAATTTACAACATCAAAATGTAAAACTTAGCACAACTCTAGGAAAATGAATAGGCAATCACAAATAAAGGCTATATAAGGAATTACAAAAACTCAATAATAAAAAACAACACAATTTAAAGTGGGCAAGTGCCTGCATTTGATTTCTGGCTTTGCTTTTGAGTACAGCTTCCTTCCAGTGCAGACCCAGGCGGCACCAGGGAACGGTTCGGAAATTGTGTTCCCGTAAACCACATGCATCGAGTTCCCAGCTCCTGGCCCCAGCCTAGTCCCACTGTTGTGGGCATCTGGAGAGTGAACCAGTGGATGGGTGCTCTGTCAATCTCTCTCTTCTCTCTGCCTTTCAAATGAAAAACCATTTTTAAGTAATGAAGTGAGCAAAAGATATGAGTGAGCCCTTTGGGAAGGAAGACATACAAACGTCAAGAAGCACAGGAAGGCTGGTGCCATGGCTCAATAGGCTAATCCTCCGCCTGCGGCACCGGCACACAGGGTTCTAGTCCCGGTCAAGGCACCGGATTCTGTCCCCGTTGCCCCTCTTCCAGGCCAGCTCTCTGCTGTGGCCAGGGAGTGCAGTGGAGGATGGCCCAAGTGCTTGGGCCCTGCACCTGCATGGGAGACCAGGAGAAGCACCTGGCTCCTGGCTTCGGATCAGCGCGGTGCGCCGGCCGCAGCAGCCATTGGAGGGTGAACCAATGGAAAAGGGAGACCTTTCTCTCTGTCTCTCTCTCTCACTGTCCACTCTGTCAAAAAGAAAAAAAAAAAAAAGCACAGGAAAAAGTGCTCAACATCATTAATAATCAAGGACTAAAATTAAAACCCCAACCACATACCGCTTTACCAGAATGACTAAAAATAAATGACTGACACCACCAAAAGTTGGCAAGGACATGAAGCAACTGGAACTCTCAAACACTGCTGGCAGGAAATACACTGATAAAACCACTCAGCTATCAGCTAGAGTTGTGGTGCAGCGGATTAAGCCTCTGCCTGGAGTCCTGGCTGTTCCACTTCTGACGTGCCTGGAAAAGCAGCAGAAGATGGCCCACATACTTGGAACCCTGACGCGAACAGGGGAGACTCAGATGGAGTTCCTGGCTTTGGCCTGGCCTGAGCCATTTCAGCAATTTGGGAAGCGAACGGTGGATGGAAGCTTCCCACACACACACACAATTTCTCCCTCTCTAACTCTGCCTTTCAAATAAATAATTATTTAAAAAAGAAAAACACTCAAATGTTAACACATGCTACCCCTCAAGAAAGAGGAAAAGTGACTCCAAAGACTGAGTCCCTGGCCCAAGTGTGGAGAAGCAGAGGGTTATTCCTAAGCCTTGAATCTTCCTGTTTTTTAAAAAAATATTTGAAAAAGTGACTGGGGGGAAAGGGGTGTCTTCCATCCACTGGCTCACTCCCCAAATGGCTGAGGAATCCAGGATCCAGGAATTCCATCCAGGTCTCTCACAGAGGTGGCAGGGACCCAAGCACTCAGGCCATCCTCAGTTGCTTTCCCAGGTGCATCAGCAGGGAGCTGGATCAGAAGCAGATCAGCCAGGACTCAAAGCAGTGTCCATACTGGATGCTGGTATCACAGGCAGTGAATTTAACCACTGTACTACAACACTTGGCCCAATCTGGTTTGTTGTTGTTTTTTTTTTTTTTTTTTATAAATACTTATTTATTTATTTGAAAGTCAGACTTACAGAGAGGCAGAGGCAGAGGCAGAAGCAGAGATAGAGAGATTCCATCTGCTGGTTCACTCCTCAAATGGCCACAATGGCCAGGGCTGGACCAGGCTGAAGCCAGGAACCAGGAGCTTCTTTTAGGTCCAAGAACTTAGGCCATCTTCTGTTGCTTTCCCAGGCCATTGGCGGGGAGCTGGATTGGAAGTGGAAGCCAGGACTCAAGCCAGCGCCCATATGGGATGACAGCGTTGCCACAACGCCAAACTTACTTGGATGCCATTCTAAACAGCCAGAGTACCAACCAAAAAAACCCAAAATCTGAAAAACAAAACACTAAGTATACCAGCAAAAGGGTACTCAGAACAGTCTGAGGGCTGAAACAGGAAGGTGGGGTCCAGCATTGGCCTCAGAGTGGGACATGAATGGTGGGCAACTCAAATCTCAAAATAGGCCAGCCCCATGGCTCACTTGGCTAATCCTCCGCCTCTCTGCTATGGCCTGGGAAATCAGTGGAAGATGGCTCAAGTGCTTGGGCCCCTGCACCTGCGTGGGAGACCCGGAAGCTCTTGGCTCCTGGCTTCAGATCGTCACAGCTCAGGCCGTTGCAGCCATTTGGGGAGTGAACCAGCAGATAGACGACCTCTCTCTTTGCCTCTCTGTAACTCTGCCTTTCAAATAAATAGATAAAAATCTTAAAAAAGAAAGAGAGAGAGAGAGAAAGAGACAGGGACGGAGGGAGGGAGAGGGAGAGAAAGAAAGAAAGAAGGAAAGAAAAGAAAGACACCCACCTGACACGCAGGCCAAAAATAAATAAAAGCAAGCCCACAAACTTCAGCTAGTAAGTAAATTTGCAAATACAGAAACCATGAATAATGAGGGCTGACTGGTTTTGTTTTGTAGGGAAAGCTCTCTCCTACAACTAGCTAAGTTTTCTTGCACTCATGCCAACCACACCCTGTTTACAGTTTATGGTTTAGGATAAACCTATATCACACAACAGCAACATCCATGGTTTCTGCCTCCCTGGGAAGACAGGCGCACTCACTCTTTCCTACATGTCACCTATACAGGTAATGGTCTCATGGGTGCTGGACTGAGAAAACTGAAGACTTTAAAAAGACAAACTCTGGGGCTGGCGCTGTAGCGTAGTGGGTAAACCCGCCACCTGCAGTGCCAGCATCCCATATGGGCGCCGGTTTGAGTCCCTGCTGCTCCACTTCTGATCCAACTCTCTGTTATGGCCTGGGAAAGCAGTAGGAGATGGCCCAAGTCTTTGGGCACCTGCACCCACATGGGAGACCCAGAAGAAGCTCTTGGCTCCTGGCTTCGGATCGGCACAGCTCTAGCCATTGCTACAACTTGGGGAGTGAACCAGCAGATGGAAGACCTCTCTGCCACTGCCTCTCTGTAACTCTGCCTTTCAAATAAATAAATCTTAAAAATGACAAAAAAAAAATGCATGGATTTCAAATTATTTCACACCAAACTCAAGTTATCTTTGAATTCCATTGTCCTGAGAACTTTTTAAAATGTCCCCGTAGGATTTCACGTACAAGAAATATTGGGAAGAGGCAAACTCGCAGACAAGAAGGGGATTAGGGGTGTTGGAAGACAGGTGTGGACTAACGGGCCTCGGGGCTTCTTTCTGGGGGTGATGAAAACGTTGTCTTGGATTAGATAATGGCCACCGCCACGCAAATACACTGGAAAACAGCAGGCTGTACAATTTAAAGGGGTGACTTCAGCTGCACATGAATTGTATCACAATTTTTACAACAGTCTACAACGGCTGAATACACGGCTAAACAGAGAGCCAAATGCCTTTTTAGTCGATCACTTCTTCCCAACTTCACCTACTCCATACAAGCAGCTGTCCGGCAGCTACTGACACTCCGGTCAACAGGTAGGGCCCGGGCGTGGTCGCCATTCCCACGGAGGGGTCCCGGTGCGCGCGCTGCGCCCCCCGTTCCTCCCACCCACTGCCTCGCAAAGCCCTGATCCAGATCCTCTTGCTGCACTAATGAATTAGCACAGGCCTCTGGACACCCGCAAGACGAGCTCAAACGTCTCCCCAGTGCTCCGCTCGGAATCTGAGCGGCGCCACGTTCCACAATCCCCAGCCGGAACCACGGAAACAGGACCAGCCTCCCCCTCCTCACTTACGCGCCTCCGGCAACGCGCAGTGCACGCAGGGAACCTCGTACGGCAGCACGTAAGCGACGGGAACTAGGGACGGGATGCGCAGAGGAAACTGGGAAGGAAGTGCAAGGGCACCCTGGGAAGAAGGTCTAATCCCAGCATCGGCCTCAGGGAGCCGGGAGAACGTGAGGGACAGATTTGAAAAAGCAGAAGGAGGAGCCGTAAATCAATTCGGATGGGGAGGAGAGCCGCAAAGCAGCCTGCTGGAAGACGTAAAGCAATTTAGTTGCATGATGAAGGTTTCTGTGTCGCAAACCGCTTTCTCGCGAACTTCTTACAGTCTGCTGCCGCCCGGGCTTCCGCTCACCCTCGTGGACCTGGCGAGCTCCTTCTGGGGCTGCGGCTTAATCGTAGGTCTCTTGGGGCCAAGTCTTCCCGCGCCATCACGTGTACTCAAGGTCCAGTTCCGGGCGGGGCGGGAATACCTCCCCAATAGCTCTCCCTGCACAATTGGGAAAAGCAATAGCGCTTTTAAGTCTTGTTGGGATGGTTTTTACATCCCTCCCTGGATTCCTCTCGGGACAGGCACAGCAAGCCAAACGTGAACACGCTTATTCATTCGTCACCTCCGGGCTCATCCATTCGTCACCTGGTGACGTCCTAAAAAGTGGCGAGGAGCCGAGGGGAAGGGCTAGGTGGAGACTTGGTGGAGGGGACGTCTACTTCTGAATGTCCCATGGCACAGCTCCCTGGACCTGGATGACGAGTGCACATCCTGTTAGCAATGCTCAAAAAATGGTTTTAGAAGTTGAGTCATCACACCCTAAGTACGGTACAGACGGTCATGAATGAGATTGTGGTCTGTGGAGGTATTCGTGGTAGGCGCAGAGCATCTGTACTGAGAACTCCAATAAAATCAGTGAACCCAACGGCTCACTATCCGGGCGGAAGTAATCCAGGGCCCCTACTCAGCTGGCGGGAAGCCGAGTGGGAACCCTGGAATCCCACGATGCGTAAATTATTTGTTGTTTCATAGACCATATTTCTTTTTTTTTTTTTAAGAGTTTTTTTTTTTTTTTTTGGACAGGCAGACTTAGACAGTGAGAGAGAGACAGACAGAGAAAAAGGTGTTCCTTACGTTGGTTCACCCCCAAAATGTTCTCTATGGCCGGAACTACGCCGATCAGGAGCCAGGTGCTTCCTCCTGGTCTCCCATCCTCCACTGCCTTCCGGAGCCAGAGCAGAGAGCTGGACTGGAAGAGGAGCAACCGGGACAGAATCCGGCGCCGCAACCGGGACTAGAACCCAGGGTGGCAACTGGGACTAGAACCCCGGGTGCCAACGCCGCAGGCAAAGGATTAGCCAAGTGAACAGCAGCGCCAGCCTCATAGACCGTATTTCAAGTCAACCTAGAAAGAAAAGTTTATTTTTAAGATGGTGCTGAGACAATTATTTAGCTATTTAAGTTACAGTAGAATCTAATGGTGAAATGTTACACACAGATACATAAAACAAGATTTTAAAAAATAGACTAGAGAAGGATGCTCTAAGTATAAAAGTTGAAAAATAGGGGCCGACGCTTTGGCACAGAGGGTTAATACCCTGGCCTGCAGTGCCGGCATCCCATATGGGCGCTGGTTCAAGATCTGGATGCTCTTCTTCCAATCCAGCTCTCTGCTATGGCCGGGGAAAGCAGTAGAAGATGGCCTAAGTCCTTGGGCCTCTGCACCCAAGTTGCAGCTAGTTGGGGAGTGAACCATCGGATGGAAGATCTCTCTCCCTCTCTCTCTGTCTCTCTCTCTCTCTTGCTCTCCTCTGTGTAACTCTGACTTGCAAATTAATAAATAAATCTTTAAAAAAATAAAAATTGAAAAATAAGTCATAAAGGAAAAAGTATATAAATGTAACTACCTACCCAACCTTTTTGAAATTCCACTGTGCCAGCATTGTGGCATAGCACATAAAGCCACCACCTGCAAAGCTGACATCCCACATAGGTGCAGGTTTGTGTCCCAGCTTCTCCACTTCCCATCCAGCTCCCTGCTAATGCACCTGGGAAACCAGCGGAGGATGGCCCAAGTCCTTGGGTCCCTGTGACTCATGTGGGAGACCCAGGAGAAGCTCCTAGCTTCTGCATTGCCCTGGACCACTGACCATTGCAGCCATCTGGGAGTACACCAACAATGGAAGAGCCCCTCCCCCTCTCCCTCCTCTTCCCCCGCCCCTTCTCCCTTCCTCTCCCTCTCCCATCTCTCTCTCTCTCTCTCTCTCTCTGTCTAAGTTGAAATAATTTTTTTTTAAGATTTTTATTTAGTTTAAAGGCAGACCTAAAGAGAGAGGAAGAGAGACAAGAAAAATCATCCATCCGCTGGTTCACTTTCCAAATGGCTGCAACAGCCGAGTCTGGGCAAGGCTGAAGCCAGGAGCATGGAGCCTCTTCTGGATCTCCCAGGTGGCTGCAGGGGCCCAAGCACTTGGGCCATCTTCTACAGCTTTCCCAGGCACATTAGCAGGGAGCTGGATAGGAAATGGAGCAGCTAGGACTTGAACTGGTGCCCATTAACCCATTGTACCACAACACTAGCCCTACAAAGATTTCTTTCCAAGACTACCATGCACATTATTTATACCCTGAATATTTACTGGAAACAAAATACCACATTACAGACTCTATTAGGTATTCACCCATTAATGATCATGTTCAGAAGAATGTCTATTGACATGATAATGCTCAAGATCATTTTCTGTAGAAAAGGCAAGGCCTAAACTATGTATAAAAAATACATCCATTAAAATAGCTAGTATTTAAAAAACAGAAAATAACAAGTGTTGAAGATGTGGAGAAATTCGAACCCTTTGTGCTATGCAGGTAGCAAGGTAAAATGGTACAGCCACTATGGAAATACAAAAAATTTAAAAATAGGACTACCATATATCAAGGAATGTCACTTCTGTGTGAATATCCAAGAGAATGGAAAGCATTCAAGAAATGTTTCCTAACAGCATGTTCATAACAGCATTATTCACAAAAGCCAAGTGGTAGAAGCAACCAAAGTTCCATTAACAGGTGAACTGAAAAACAAAATGTAGTAGATACACACAATTAAATTTCATTTTTATTTCTATTTTTAAATTTTTATTTGAAAGGTAGAAAGACACAGAGAGACTGAGACAGACCTTTCATTTTCCAATTCACTCCCCACATGCCCACAACAACCAGGGCTGGGCTAGGCCAAAGCCAGGAACTCAAAACTCCATCATAGTCTCCCACGTGGAACCTAAGTACTTGAGCCATCATCTGCCTCCTCCCAGGGTGAACAGGCCCTCCAGTATAGTATATGGATGTCCCAAGCAGCCTCTTAACCACTACTCATACAATGGACTGTTACTTGCTTTATAAAAGGAAGAAAATCTTGACACATGCTACAACATTGATGAAATTGAGGATATTATGTCAGTGAAATAAGCCTGTTAAGAAAGACGAATACTGTATGATTCTAGTTATAGGAGGTACCTAAAGTAGTAAAAATCATAAAGACAGAAAGTAGAAGGGTGTTTGCCAGTAGCTAAGGGGAGGATAGAAGGGGGAGCTATTATTTATTGGATATAGAGCTTCAGTGTTATAAAAATATGTGAATTTTGGAGATTGGTTACACAGTAATATGAATGTACTTAACCCCACTGAACTGTACACCTAAGGATTTTTATGATGGTAAATTGTATGTTATGAGTATTTTACAACAATTAAAATTTTTAAAATTTTTTTAAAATTTATTTGACAGAGTTAGACAGCGAGAGAGAGAGAGAGACAGAAAGGTCTTTCTTTTGTTGGTTCACCCCGCAAATGGCCACAACAGCCAGAGCTGGACTGATCCAAAGCCAGGAGCCCAAGCACTTGGGCCATCTTCCACTGTTTTCCTAGGCCATAGCAGAGAGCTGGATCCAAAGAGGAGCAGCCAGGACTTGAACCAGCACCTATATGGGATGCCAGTGCCACACACAGGCGGAGGCTGAGCCTACAAGGCCACAGCACTGGCTCCAATAAAAATAATTTTTAAAAACTTGCCTAAAATTAAATCTATCAGAAAGCATCCAAAAAAAATTTTTTTTTGAGAGGAGAGAGAGAAAAGAGTGAGAGAGAGCTCCCATTCCTTGATTCACTTTCCAAATGCCCAAGATGGCCAGAGCTAGAACAGGAGCCGTGAACTCAGTCCAGGTCTCCCATGGGTGTGGAAGGAACCCAATCACTGAGCCCTCACTGCTGCCTCCCAGTGTGCTGTCCTGAAGGCACAACGTCATCTGTGTGGTGTCCCAGCACAGAATGTATAACCAAGTCACGAAGAGCAGACAAACGTAAAATGAGGAGCATTCAATTAACAGAAAAAATGTGTGTTAAGGGCGGGGCTTATTGGTTAGATTTGTTTATATGTACTGAGAGGCACTGCAGTCTTCAGAAGTGCCAGTATCGGGGCAGACACCCATGGCCCGCACTGGAGTACCTGAGTTCGAGTCTCAGCTGCAACTCCTAATTCCAGCTCCCTGCTAATGCAGACATTGAGGGGCAGCAGCAGGGGCTCAAGTAATTGGATTCCTGTCACCCATGTGGGGGACTTAGACTGTGTTCCTGGCTCAGGCCTTTGGCCTAGTGCAACTCTGGATGTTGCAGACATCTGGGGAGTGAACCAGCAGATGGGAGCACTCTCTTCCTCTCTCTCCCTCTCCCTCTCCCTCTCCCTCTCCCTCTCCCTCTCCCTCTCCCTCTCCCTCTCCTCCTCCTCCTCCTCCCTCCCTCCCTCCTCTCCCTCTCTGTCTGAAATACATTTTAAATTTTTGTTAAATTAAAAATAACTTAAATCCAATGTCATAGTAATTTTGCATCATATATGTATTCATAAAAATAAGAGACAAAGGGCTGACATTTTGGCCTAGCAGATTAAGCGGCTGCCTGCAGTACCAGCATCCCATATGGCTGCTCCACTTCCCATCCAGCTCCCTGCTAATCTACTGGGAAAGCAGTGGAGGATGACCCAAGTCCTTGGGCCCTTGCACCTACATGGGAGAGACAGAAGTTCCTGGTTTCCTGGCTTCTGCTTTTTAAAAATAACATATGACCCTTGGCAAGTGTTATAAGTACAGGATACAGTATATTTTAGCCATAAGCACAATGATGAATAATAAATCTCTCAAACTTTCCCAGCTTGCATAACTGAAACTCTTTACCAATGGAACAGTTATCCTGCATTTACTCCTCCCACCAGCCCCTGTCAACCACTATTCAACCTCTGTTCCTTTGCATTTGACTATTTCAGATTCCTCATATACATGAATTTGAGCATAATGTGTCCTTCTGAGACTGGCTTAATTCATTTAATGCAGTGTCCCACATGTTCATTCACATTGTGATGTATGTCAGATTTTCTTCTTTTTAAAGCCTTAATAAGGCCGGCGCCGAGGCTCAACAGGCTAATCCTCCGCCTAGCGGCGCCGGCACACCAGGTTCTAGTCGCGGTCGGGGCACCGGATTCTGTCCCGGTTGCCCCTCTTCCAGGCCAGCTCTCTGCT